GGGATGTACATAGCTCAGTGGTTAACGCTTCTGACTTTGAACATCGACTACGCAGGTTCGATCCCTGCTGAAGTCTAGAAAAAAGAAGTCTGATGAGGAGATGTGGTGATCTCTTCAATTTTTCCTAATAAACAATCGTGGTACAAAGCTCAATAAAGATATTGAAAACAATAAACTTTTTACGATTATCAGCTAATTGAACGGCGTTGCCACAAATTGTTAGCAAACAGTCTGCAGGACTGTAGCAGTAGCAAACAAAATACGGCGTATACTGTCGATTAGTAAATAGAATTTGTAAAATATACAAATATTACGAATTTGTTACAACGAGATATCTAAATGTTTTTCTTGCCTAAAACCGGGACATTCCGCGTCCCGGTATGTGTTGTACCGGGACCGGGATATAGCTTTTAAATCCAGGACAGTCCCGCTGAAAACGGTACGGTTGGCAACCGTGGTTATCACACATTGTATTGTATTTTTATGAGAAGCTGTTTTTCATGGCAGAAATACACTCGGAGGTTTGCCATTTCCTGCCGAGGGGTGACCGCCGTTAAGAAAAAACTTTGACTTGAACCCAGGATCTGCAGATTGGTAGCGCGCACTGCTAACCACTGCACCACAGCGGCCGCCTGTTAATGCTAACCTTATAAATAGCTTGTTGGTAGAATTTACTATTAATTTTCAAAGTTAGAGTTAACATCAATAATGACAGTTAAGTCCCAGATAAGTTTCAACATCAGAAACTAGTATTTTTTACATAAAATTGCCAATTTCTAGAAATGAGCACAAACAAATTTCAGGAAAAAACAGCGCAATATAATACCAAAAAATAGTTTAACTTCCGTTGCGTAGCAATTTTACAAGCAATGGCATAGAGTCAGAAACTTTTGCACTGTATATTTAAAACATACCTGGGCGAGATAGGGTTTGTGGAGTTCATGTAGTTTAGACCACGCTCAACATCAGATCTGGGATTCAGATTTTGTAATTGTATTTCAGGTCCATTGGGGTTATCGTCGGTGGCTGCTTGCTGAGCATTCGCAATTCCAGTTACAATGAGCATATGAGTTTGTCGGCGGAGTATAGGCATAGGAAGTGGCAATTCACCATGAGCTGCGCGTGCTGTTAGAGAGAGTGCACACAATTTCTGGCGTACGCCATAGTGATTTACCAACACACCCAATGCAGGTATAATAAAAACGGCGAAGGTATGGAAAATAATGAAAGAAATTAAAACAGTGCTGGCGCCAGCATCGTATATACAATTGATTCTAACGTTTGGTGAAATAGTGCCAATATGAAAATATTGTCCCATATTAACGTTTTCGCTAGCACCAGCCAAAACTTCGGACGAGATCGGATATTTTATACTTTTATCATTCAAGTTGGTTGCACTTCTAGCCATTATTTTATAGGTGAAAAGGAAAGGTGTACTGAGAGCAGCTGAAGCTATCCACGACAAAAGGGCTACTGATACATGCAAAAAGCGACGCTTGCGTAGTTGTGCTAAAGATGGGTGTCTCACAGTAGCATAGCGATCCAAAGAAAGCATGAAAAATGAAATGGTACTAGCGGCTACCGGCATAACCTGCAAAATCGAACGGCCAGTTTGTTAATACTTAAAATTAATATTTGCACTATATGAAAATAGTTTTTCTTCTTACCTGCACATAATGAATGATTTTGCATATTGTCAACGGTAAGGAGTTACTCTTATAATTTAAAGCTACATTTAAAAACGTCACTGGAGCTGAAATAGCAGTTACCAATAAGTCAGCAAGGCAAACGGCTAGCAACAAGGGATTTCGCATGCGCACTTTCGAGGCAGAACAGAGCGTTAACAATAGCGTCGCATTGCCCAGGACGCCGCCGAATATTACCAGTCCAAACGATATGATCATTATAAGCAAAGTTAGCGAGGATATAGAATTTGCTTCTTTGCAGTTTATATCATATGAGTTACTTTTCCAAGTATTATTATTAAAATCGTCAAAATCGTTGTTACCGATCTGTGGCAATAGATTTAACCTCGCTGCATCCATTTTTTCGCTGTGTTGAGGTAACTGCAGAGCGTGTAAGTTTTGAGGATTGAAGGCATATTGTAGATGGTGATGACGAAATGTGTTTTGCCACCATTGCTGCATATTATCGCTGTTCATTGTAGCTCCAATTACTTCAAAATGAGAATCAGATACTGCCTAGCAATTATTCCTGAAAATATAATGCATCTAATTAAAATCAAGATATGAAAATCTATATTTCTTAACGCAATTTATAAATGTTACTTGATTACGATACACATAAATAAAGACATATATAGAGTAGTCCGGTAAATAAGGTGTTCACTGCATAAGCAAAAGATTTTAGTTCGTTATCCTTGTTTTTACATCTCCTACGAAGCAGATCAGTGCCGCGAAGCTGCAGAGAAAACAGATGCCGCCTACAGGACCATGCTGCGATAGAGCGCAACGTATTTGCCGCAGTAAGAAGAGATAGGCTGAAATAAATTGATAAGGTGCATGCAGCATGCATAACGCTCTTATCTTCTTTTGGACAAGAAACCGTATACTACTGCGAAAAAAATTCGTTTAGCAGTGTCTCCATTTCAAAATTAAATAATTTTTTACAGTACAGTATTTTTTTAAGCAGTTTTCCAATAAAATAAAGGAATTCCTTGTATTATGTGTACCGTTGTATACCCCAAGGCAAAATCATATATCTAATAAAGTCCTTGTAAATTCAAATTTCTAACTTTGTACAAATGTTGCTGCTGCCCGCGTTACCAGTGCTGCCGCTGTCATTTCAATTGAAGTTTTTCACTTCACTTTGGAAGACCTCACTTCGTCACTTCATTTTACTTCACTTTCAACAAATTATATTCATCTCCAAAATAAATCAAAAAAATCTTTGAAATAAATGATTTATTTAAACAAAATCAGCAATAGTTTTCTAAAATTCCTGTTAAAAACTAGTAAGTATGGCAAAGTAACTTTTCGTAAGAAGCTACTAAAAAGACGCCTAATAAATTAAATCTCCGGCATCGGTTATTTGGAATAAGTCGTTTTGATTTTCATTTTCACATGGGTGAATAAAGTTTCATAGTTATTTAATAAATATTTGACGAAAATAACAATTATATTTTAATTTTCATACATCTTCAATTTTACAGTAAAAAGGAAACATTTAAGTGAATCTGGTGATGCCGTTGTTGCTGTGTATCTGGTGAAGACTTCGTTGCTGCGAATCGATAATTAAAGCTGCAAAAACATCGGATATAATAGTATCGATGTTTTAATATTTTTTTGAAAACATAGATGTTTTTTACTATCGATGTTTTTAGAAGATATGCCATCATAAGAAAGTTTATCCGTTGCTGATTTGGAGCAGGCAACAAGTATAAAAATTAAAGCGTAATAAACTCATAATCGTTAACAGTTTAGCTGAATTTTAACGAAAAAGCGTACCAGTAAAGGGCTAACTATAATATGCATAAGCTGCCGTAACTGACTGTCAGAAAATGAACGAAAAGTCTGTCAAATGCATAAGCAACGTAGTGTAGACTTTTAGGTGCCTATATTTTACTTACATGAGTTCAGTGTTGCCACATTTAATTAGATATAACAATAGCCACTATCAAGCAGTTTGTTGTAGATCACACAATTATAGTAACCTAGAAACGCCGAAGAACTGTTCGCCATGCGAAAATTTCAGGATAATCTGGTGTTTCTGTAAAAGGAAACGCTTACGGCCCACTTCCTAATATGGAACCAGAACTTCTTTTGACCTGTGTTACATGTAGGACTGAATCGAAAAAGTTACCAAGTTGAAAAATAAGTTACCAAATTACCAAATATGAAAAAAATTACCAATTTCGGAAAAAAACACCAATGCGGCAACACTGCATGTCTTACATATGTACATACATACGTACGAGGACAAACAGCTGTTTCCGTTTGGAAGGTGCGATCAGTATCGCTCTTTCCTTAAGCAAATGACGTTTGGCGAAACTTGACGAAACTTGATGTTAAGCACATTATAGTTTCAGAATAGGATTTATGTGTATTCGCACGTTTGCATACGCTTGCTTATTCATATTATAGTTAGCCCTTAAGTATTTAGGGAAGGTATTACTCATAAAAATGATTTTGTCAGTGCCACTCGATCTCTAATTCGGAAAATTAAGACTAAAAACCTGAAGTGTACCCTAGATCATTGCCTTAAAGAGCAAATATTTAATTTATTTTATAAGACATTAATTATAACACATTAATAGTGTTGTTGCTTTATTGGCAAAAACATCAAAAAATCGATAGTTTCAAACATCGATGTTTTTGCAGCACTATCGATAATCGACTAATTACATTCTAGTTTTAATATCATTAATGGACTGTAATTTTTGATTTTCTTTCCTCAACGAAAACATTCTGATTTTAAAGATATTGCAGCAAAACAAAATAATTATAAATAAATAAAGGTTAAAGATTACTTTTATTGTGATCAAAAATAAACGATTAACCAATAGATAACAACAAATAATATAATAGGGTTTACACCCCTAATTGTGCTAGAAAGTCGTCACTTCGATAATCACTTCACTTTTCCTCCAACAAAAATCAACTCGAATTCTTAGCCTATTGAAAATTGCACTTTATTATTAATAAGCTACAAAACTGCACTACACCTGGAATTTTTCTAAAAACTGTGAATACAAAGTTTGTTGTGAAATATTTTTAATTTGTCTAAAAAGTTTGAAATATGGATTTATATAGTGTTAAGTATTATATAACTAACAAGACTTTGGTTGCCCTTATTTTTTTTACACAACAGTATATCGATGGCTGAGTGGAAGATCGACCTATCTCGGCAGCCAGTTCGAAAACGCTCTATCTCAAAAAACTTTTCAAGAACGCCCTATTTCAGAATTCGTTTCAAAAACGCCCTATATCAGCGGCCGATTTAAAAACGCCCTATATCAGCATATTTTCAATACATTTTGAAGTGTGATAGGGCGTTTTTGAACCGAATTTTGAGATAGGGTGTTTTTCAATTAAATTCTGAAATAGGGCGTTCTTGAAAAGTTTTCTGAGATAGAGCGTTTTCGAACTGGCTGCCGAGATAGGTCGATCTTCCACTCAGCCATCGATATACGTATGTACTTCAGGACGGGTCAATTTGTATGGGAGATTTTTTCGACTATAGGCGTATAGGACAGGAGGATTCTACGTGTAATTCTAAAGCAGAGATTACACGATTTTTTCACTTGTACATTTGGCAGTCACGGAGGGGTGTTGTCAATAAATTTCTAACGCGAATGAGTTCAGTTCAATAACAACTTTCCATACAACACCACTCTGTAACGATGGAAATGGACAAATCTGTACAAATGAACAAATCATGCGATCCCTGCTTAAGCAAATTTGCCGAAGAAACCATGGGTCTAAAATAGGGCTGCCAGACGTCCCGGTTTTCCCGGACATGTCCCGGTTTTAGACTATTTGTCCCGGTGTCCCGGTCCTACCTTAAAATGTCCCGGGTTTCGTTTGTGTCCCGGTTTTCGATTTGATTGCACAAATTTGAATAAAAGTTCAATAATCACTACACTAAGAAAAAAACGCGTTGTAATATTCAGAAAAATGTTATGTATTCACTGAGTGAATAAGAATATTTTTTATTTGATTATCGTTTTAAAATGTTTGTATTTAAAAATAATACTTTCAACAAAGCACGCGTGGTGTTGATTCAAACTCAACATTTGAATGTACATTTACATGACTGGCTGTAGCTGAGTGCGAAGATGCTTGCCACAATTTGCTAATTTCCAGAGGGTCAGGGTTCAAATCCCATTATAGGCGGCATGGAATTTTAATATTTTTTCAACTTAATTATGAAAAAGTAATCGGTAAGTGCAAAGCGCTTCATTTTAATATGGGCGTATTTGAATTGAATATTTCGATACTAAATAACGGGTGATTTTTTAAGAGCTTGATAACTTTTTTTTTAAAAAAAACGCATAAAATTTGCAAAATCTCATCGGTTCTTTATTTGAAACGTTAGATTGGTCCATGACATTTACTTTTTGAAGATAATTTCATTTAAATGTTGACCGCGGCTGCGTCTTAGGTGGTCCATTCGGAAAGTCCAATTTTGGGCAACTTTTTCGAGCATTTCGGCCGGAATAGCCCGAATTTCTTCGGAAATGTTGTCTTCCAAAGCTGGAATAGTTGCTGGCTTATTTCTGTAGACTTTAGACTTGACGTAGCCCCACAAAAAATAGTCTAAAGGCGTCAAATCGCATGATCTTGGTGGCCAACTTACCGGTCCATTTCTTGAGATGAATTGTTCTCCGAAGTTTTCCCTCAAAATGGCCATAGAATCGCGAGCTGTGTGGCATGTAGCGCCATCTTGTTGAAACCACATGTCAACCAAGTTCAGTTCTTCCATTTTTGGCAACAAAAAGTTTGTTAGCATCGAACGATAGCGATCGCCATTCACCGTAACGTTGCGTCCAACAGCATCTTTGAAAAAATACGGTCCAATGATTCCACCAGCGTACAAACCACACCAAACAGTGCATTTTTCGGGATGCATGGGCAGTTCTTGAACGGCTTCTGGTTGCTCTTCACTCCAAATGCGGCAATTTTGCTTATTTACGAAGCCATTCAACCAGAAATGAGCCTCATCGCCATAGACCATAAATCGGACGTAAAGCGCGAAACACATTTCGAACCGAACACTGATTTTGGTAATAAAATTCAATGATTTGCAAGCGTTGCTCGTTAGTAAGTCTATTCATGATGAAATTTCAAAGCATACTGAGCATCTTTCTCTTTGACACCATGTCTGAAATCCCACGTGATCTGTCAAATACTAATGCATGAAAATCCTAACCTCAAAAAAATCACCCGTTACTAAAATTTGTATACTTAAATGTATTATGAGTTCGGTTGGTGCTCTTTCATATGCGTATTTTTTTGAATTTAGCACGATTTTTAAATTCTAAACTTTTTTCTCTCAGTGCACCGGCTTCATTTGTGAAATAGTTGCATCTCCAGATAGTTGAACTTTGCAAGTTTTGGAACAAGTTCACAGCAACGAAAAATAAGACTGATATTTTAATGTTATCTTGTACTTAAATTTTTTGTCTTTCATGAAACCTAGAGTACTTATAAGTACAGTGCCGTACAAGATTATTGACTCGGAGACTCTTT